CTCTGTGCCTCTCTCTGGTCAAATTAAAATAAATGAATGAATAAATAAAGTTAAATAAATAATAATTTTTTAAAATTTCCATTTTCTATATAAACTAATTAGTTTTCTAAACTGCTAAGCCAAAATTAACCAAAAAAAAGTTTGACAAAATTACATGTTAAGTAGCCAATACAATACACCTAAGTTATAAAGATAATTAAAATTGATATAAAAAATATAAATCTAATGTTAATCATAAACACATAAAAACATTGCCTCCTGGTTCTCTCTGAGTCCTCCTTATAATTCTTATTACTAAGTTAACATATTTTAGTTATTCCTACTGATGGTCTTTAAATTTTATAAAATTGAAAAAGTCTGTTAATAAGGTTGTTCAGCTTTACATTTTAAAATTATTGAAACAAGTTTTGTTACTATTGTAGTTTGTTTATACATGTTCAAAAGCTACCAGTCAGTATATATAAATATATATAATTCTATTTTTACAAACTTGGAAACTTCTCCAAAAAATATCAAACTTCCCAAAATAAAATTAAAAAAAACATAGCCCATTAATAAAATTGGGCCTATATATCAAAAACAAAAACTAAAAACTCCTATCCAAAAACTTAATAAAATAGAAGTCTCAAAAAATAAAATAAGACAAGTTAAAACTAAAACTCCTGACTGCCTCCTCCCTCTCTGCCCCCACAGGGAATGGTCATGCTGCTATCCCTTCTCTATTTCTCGGACTCTTTTCAGGATTTTAAGCAGGTGCACACAGGTGTCCAGTGTGATTTAAAAGCCACCAGGTCCAGAATTTAAACCATGTGGCTAATTTATCAATAAAACTTTATTATAGAAATGTATGTAGAAGGAAAAAATTTAGCATGTATGTAGGGTTTGGGACTATTCATGGTTTCAGACATCCATAATAGTCTTGTATACTTTATGGATAAGAGGAGATCACTGTACAGAAAATTCTGGACAAAGGGTCACAATTCAAGTGTTCTCTACCCACCAATACATCATTTATATATGATGTTTAGAAAAAAGAAAGGGACGAGAAGATGGCATAATGGTCACGTCACTGGACTCCCACAAGGACAACCACAGTTCACCTCCTGGACCTGGAGGCTTGAAACTCACAATGGGTGCATGTGTATGGATGCCCAAAATCCCAAGGAAATGGAGAAAAGACTACAACATAGCCATCTCCCCTGGGGGGTGATTTCTCACTTTCTCTGTCTCTCTGGTGAGCACACACACTCTATAGCAACCATCTCTCTTGAAAAAAAAAATCAATAAATAAAAGTTAAGAATACAAAAAAAAAAGGCAAAAACTCATTGCTAGAAGGAATCTTTACCCTCTCTTAGTCTGTAATTCATCACGAAATTTAAAGTAAGTATCTATACAAACGACCTAAAGAACATTACTAAAAAAAATTTTAAAACTTCCTGGAGATGGGTAAAATTCTAGTCTCACAAAACAAGAGAATACAACTTCTTTTCAACTGTTTGGAAGTATCACAAAAATTTACAACAAGTAACATAGAAAGTCTCCAAAAAAAGCCCAAAAGCCAGAAATAGAAACAACCTGCTTTAATCAAATTTTAAAACTATGAAACAAAAATGTCAGAAAGGAAAACCCAGCATCACTGACAAACATCCTCTTTCTTAAATAAATCTATGTTAGGTAGCAAATGAAATTCAAAATTTCAGAATATCTAAAAAGCAATAATATTATATACTAGAAAATACTGTATATAGCAAAAATCAGGACTCAGACAAAAACCAATAATCCATTAAAAATACAGGGGGAAAAAAGGGGGGGCTAAAGCAGGTGGCATGATGGTTAAGATGCTAGACTCCCAAATGGCCGGCTATAGTTCAAGTCCCAGACCTGGCAACTTGAAAATCACACCAGGCACATGTGCGTGCATGCCCAAAATCCCAGTGAGCACACACATGCACTATGGCAAAAACCTAG